ATAAAACAAAACCATTAGAGCCAACCATCTATTTGTCTATTATGCTGTTCTATTATAAAACAAAACCGTTAGGGCCAACCATCTATTTGTCTATTATACTGTTCTATTATACTGTTCTATTATACTGTTTTATTATAAAACAAAACCGTTAGGGCCAACCATCTATTTGTCTATTATGCTGTTCGATTATAAAACAAAACCGTTAGGGCCAACCATCTATTTGTCTATTATGCTGTTCGATTATAAAACAAAACCGTTAGGGCCAACCATCTATTTGTCTATTATGCTGTTCGATTATAAAACAAAACCGTTAGGGCCAACCATCTATTTGTCTATTATGCTGTTCGATTATAAAACAAAACCGTTAGGGCCAACCATCTATTTGTCTATTATGCTGTTCGATTATAAAACAAAACCGTTAGGGCCAACCATCTATTTGTCTATTATGCTGTTCGATTATAAAACAAAACCGTTAGGGCCAACCATCTATTTGTCTATTATGCTGTTCGATTATAAAACAAAACCGTTAGGGCCAACCATCTATTTGTCTATTATGCTGTTCGATTATAAAACAAAACCGTTAGGGCCAACCATCTATTTGTCTATTATGCTGTTCGATTATAAAACAAAACCGTTAGGGCCAACCATCTATTTGTCTATTATGCTGTTCGATTATAAAACAAAACCGTTAGGGCCAACCATCTATTTGTCTATTATGCTGTTCGATTATAAAACAAAACCGTTAGGGCCAACCATCTATTTGTCTATTATGCTGTTCGATTATAAAACAAAACCGTTAGGGCCAACCATCTATTTGTCTATTATGCTGTTCGATTATAAAACAAAACCGTTAGGGCCAACCATCTATTTGTCTATTATGCTGTTCGATTATAAAACAAAACCGTTAGGGCCAACCATCTATTTGTCTATTATGCTGTTCGATTATAAAACAAAACCGTTAGGGCCAACCATCTATTTGTCTATTATGCTGTTCGATTATAAAACAAAACCGTTAGGGCCAACCATCTATTTGTCTATTATGCTGTTCGATTATAAAACAAAACCGTTAGGGCCAACCATCTATTTGTCTATTATGCTGTTCGATTATAAAACAAAACCGTTAGGGCCAACCATCTATTTGTCTATTATGCTGTTCGATTATAAAACAAAACCGTTAGGGCCAACCATCTATTTGTCTATTATGCTGTTCGATTATAAAACAAAACCGTTAGGGCCAACCATCTATTTGTCTATTATGCTGTTCGATTATAAAACAAAACCGTTAGGGCCAACCATCTATTTGTCTATTATGCTGTTCGATTATAAAACAAAACCGTTAGGGCCAACCATCTATTTGTCTATTATGCTGTTCGATTATAAAACAAAACCGTTAGGGCCAACCATCTATTTGTCTATTATGCTGTTCTATTATAAAACAAAACCGTTAGGGCCAACCATCTATTTGTCTATTATGCTGTTCTATTATAAAACAAAACCGTTAGGGCCAACCATCTATTTGTCTATTATGCTGTTCTATTATAAAACAAAACCGTTAGGGCCAACCATCTATTTGTCTATTATGCTGTTCTATTATAAAACAAAACCGTTAGGGCCAACCATCTATTTGTCTATTATGCTGTTCTATTATAAAACAAAACCGTTAGGGCCAACCATCTATTTGTCTATTATGCTGTTCTATTATAAAACAAAACCGTTAGGGCCAACCATCTATTTGTCTATTATGCTGTTCTATTATAAAACAAAACCGTTAGGGCCAACCATCTATTTGTCTATTATGCTGTTCTATTATAAAACAAAACCGTTAGGGCCAACCATCTATTTGTCTATTATGCTGTTCTATTATAAAACAAAACCGTTAGGGCCAACCATCTATTTGTCTATTATGCTGTTCTATTATAAAACAAAACCGTTAGGGCCAACCATCTATTTGTCTATTATGCTGTTCTATTATAAAACAAAACCGTTAGGGCCAACCATCTATTTGTCTATTATGCTGTTCTATTATAAAACAAAACCGTTAGGGCCAACCATCTATTTGTCTATTATGCTGTTCTATTATAAAACAAAACCGTTAGGGCCAACCATCTATTTGTCTATTATGCTGTTCTATTATAAAACAAAACCGTTAGGGCCAACCATCTATTTGTCTATTATGCTGTTCTATTATAAAACAAAACCGTTAGGGCCAACCATCTATTTGTCTATTATGCTGTTCTATTATAAAACAAAACCGTTAGGGCCAACCATCTATTTGTCTATTATGCTGTTCTATTATAAAACAAAACCGTTAGGGCCAACCATCTATTTGTCTATTATGCTGTTCTATTATAAAACAAAACCGTTAGGGCCAACCATCTATTTGTCTATTATGCTGTTCTATTATAAAACAAAACCGTTAGGGCCAACCATCTATTTGTCTATTATGCTGTTCTATTATAAAACAAAACCGTTAGGGCCAACCATCTATTTGTCTATTATGCTGTTCTATTATAAAACAAAACCGTTAGGGCCAACCATCTATTTGTCTATTATGCTGTTCTATTATAAAACAAAACCGTTAGGGCCAACCATCTATTTGTCTATTATGCTGTTCTATTATAAAACAAAACCGTTAGGGCCAACCATCTATTTGTCTATTATGCTGTTCTATTATAAAACAAAACCGTTAGGGCCAACCATCTATTTGTCTATTATGCTGTTCTATTATAAAACAAAACCGTTAGGGCCAACCATCTATTTGTCTATTATGCTGTTCTATTATAAAACAAAACCGTTAGGGCCAACCATCTATTTGTCTATTATGCTGTTCTATTATAAAACAAAACCGTTAGGGCCAACCATCTATTTGTCTATTATGCTGTTCTATTATAAAACAAAACCGTTAGGGCCAACCATCTATTTGTCTATTATGCTGTTCTATTATAAAACAAAACCGTTAGGGCCAACCATCTATTTGTCTATTATGCTGTTCTATTATAAAACAAAACCGTTAGGGCCAACCATCTATTTGTCTATTATGCTGTTCTATTATAAAACAAAACCGTTAGGGCCAACCATCTATTTGTCTATTATGCTGTTCTATTATAAAACAAAACCGTTAGGGCCAACCATCTATTTGTCTATTATGCTGTTCTATTATAAAACAAAACCGTTAGGGCCAACCATCTATTTGTCTATTATGCTGTTCTATTATAAAACAAAACCGTTAGGGCCAACCATCTATTTGTCTATTATGCTGTTCTATTATAAAACAAAACCGTTAGGGCCAACCATCTATTTGTCTATTATGCTGTTCTATTATAAAACAAAACCGTTAGGGCCAACCATCTATTTGTCTATTATGCTGTTCTATTATAAAACAAAACCGTTAGGGCCAACCATCTATTTGTCTATTATGCTGTTCTATTATAAAACAAAACCGTTAGGGCCAACCATCTATTTGTCTATTATGCTGTTCTATTATAAAACAAAACCGTTAGGGCCAACCATCTATTTGTCTATTATGCTGTTCTATTATAAAACAAAACCGTTAGGGCCAACCATCTATTTGTCTATTATGCTGTTCGATTATAAAACAAAACCGTTAGGGTCAACCATCTATTTGTCTATTATACTGTTCTATTATAAAACAAAACCATCAGGGCCAACCATCCGCGCTACTGACGGGTTGACGTTAAGCGTTTTAATTTGCAAAAACATTTTAAAAAATAATATGATATCAAAATGTAAAAAAAAAACCATGTGGTCAGTTATAGATAGATAAAATATTGTTATCTACCTTATCTATTGTTATTACCCATGTGATATTAGACCTGTTAAATTTATTTACACCTGGGATGTTTACACCTGTGATTGTGTACGTGATAGAGTAAACACAGGTATAGATATACCTATACGAGACTCCATCGCCGTCGCACACAGGCACACGATGTGACAGTGACGCGCGATAGCTATCTGTTACTGCTGCTGAGGGAAAATGGGCGAGGCTTGTATACATCAACACTTATGATTGGACCAACACATGTCAGATTTATGCAAATATCCCGCGCGGGTGGCTCGCGTGCACATTTTGACATGTAGCTTATCGGATTTCGACAAATGAGAAAGATACTTGAATTATTCTGTTACCTCTCAGGACTTGAAAGAAAAACACAGGTTATGTGCTATAGAATGGTAGAAACTCCACGAGAATGCATTTCTGAATAGTTTGGATCCGGCGGAATGAGTAACTGTGCTGATATGATGTATCCACTATACCCTCCGTACTTTCCACATAAAACCTCCACCAATGACATATCGGTAAGTACACATGCAAGTCTCAAATATTTCCATCATAAAGAATTTTCATTTGAAATTGATTTTCTTTCTTCTTTCAGCTTCCACTCTAAGCACGTGCCAATAGAAATAGTTTAAAAAGAAAGTCGGAATTTCTGATTGCATAGTTCCGCTTTCTGATCGCATAGTTCCTCTTTCTGTACAAACATACCGATCGGTCCACGCGCGTAGGGTAACACACGGCATGATTCGTAAAACGTTTGCGGTAAATATTTTCTCCGATACCAACAGAAATTCCTTGAGATGTCTGAGATTTTAGCCAGGAATAACGGTCATTTCTTTCCTCATTTCATACGATGTGCAAAAATATTTTCCGATACGTAAACCAAATGTTGTGGGACAGTGCGCGTCAAACCACCGATCACCTATCGCACGGGCACTAGGTTACCATCGTTTCTCGTCAGTAGGATTTTGTGTGATTTACTTGTGAAATTCTAGTTTTTGTGTAGATATATCGAACTCGGACCGCACCTGGATTTACACCATATTCACTCCCAGCTCATAATGTTAATGAACTTGCTTCCAGGAATTATGATGGTTTTGTGAAGTAAATTTCCTCGGGAATATAATTTCATGAATTCAGAACTGGAATGTTTTATAAAAAAAACTGTGTTTTGATTGTGAGAAAAAAATGTTCATTGTGTGTACCAGAAGACGTTATTAATTAAATAAAACCATGGTTTAGAAATAAATGATACCGACTTGACATCCTGAACGACTCTTACTGTAGAATGCGTTCCGTGTAATCTGTAAATAACGCCACCCAGACTACTTCACCTCTTCCATATTTGAATATATTCACTGACTTTTTATAATTTATTTCGTGATGGTTTTTAACACGATTGGACGCCTGTCGTAAGGCTAAAACGAGAGTCACTCCTCCACCCACTACATTTCTCACGCATGCTGGAATGTGCGACTGTTACTTGTAACACATATCCGACAAGGGAGATTTTATTTAAATTGAGAAAAGTGATTATGTTTAACAGTTAACGATTGTCGGTGGTTTTACGTCCTTGTAACAGTTTAGGTCAAATAAGACGGTTGTGATCTGTATTATTTATAAATATGTACATGTATATAATTTTTTGTTTATAAATATTTTACTTAATAATTTAACTATCGTGTAAGACATAACGATATTTTTTTCTCACAGAAATACGGTTCTACCGGAAGTGTGCCTGTGTATGACCACGCTAGCACTGCATACCCCTCCATTCCGGAAAGTGTCAACACTAACGTCACCAGGAATGCTGACGTGGGTAGCGCCAACATTGACATGGAGGCTCAGCCCAAGGCGTCCCACTACGTCAATCCGAACTGTGTGCTATTGAACTATTTCACTGGCGACACTGCGACAGTCGTGGACGAACATTTTTCACGTGCGCTTAGTCAGCCGAGCAGCTTCACGGCCGACCGAGGTACGACGCCCCTCCGTAAAACAGGTGAGCTTACTTCTTCACACATTTATATAACTGCTTTACTTCCAGTAAATTCACCAAGAACATCAATCTGAAGCTAATGACAGCTAAAGAGAAAAAAGGTTGATTGTCCGTCGATAACCAGGAGAAATGGTTTAGTGTTGCTTTTAGATCGTTCCTGATCTCTAATACTACGTAGACATGCCAGAGCACAAAAAACATTCAAAATGATAAAAGGTTTCCGTGAAGTTGTTATGAACATTTGTCTACTTGTTAATATTTATGTTGCTCTTCAGTTTATTTACCATTGATTTTTCTTACTTCTATTTTATTTTCATAATCTGCGAAGATTGAATTGAGGATACTAGCAATCCTCATAACTCATTAATACAACTTAGGGATTGAATTGAGGATAATAGCAATCCTTATAACTCATGAATACAACTTAGGGATTGAATTGAGGATAATAGCAATCCTTATAACTCCTTACAACTTAGGACGTATATTATCAGTACGTTTTCTACGCACTACGTTACCTAAAATAGTATATTTTGTTGTCCACGTTCGTTCTACTAGACAGATCGGATAAGACTTGTGTCCCAATTTTGTAGCGTTATGGTGCCAATTCTCCTTAATGCCGTGTATATACTACAAGTGTTCAGTGTTGCCTGATTTAAATAAAGATGGTTAAAATATTCATACTTGTAATATCAATCAGAATTTTCCTCTGTTTCGTCTTTTTGTTTCAATGTGAGGAAAAAAGTATTTATATAATTACGTCTATACATGGGAGTAAGTAGACACGTCTATACATGGGAGTAAGGAGACACGTCTATACATGGGAGTAAGTAGACACGTCTTTACATGGGAGTAAGTAGACACGTCTATACATGGAAGTAAGTAGACACGTCTATACATGGGAGTAAGTAGATACGTCTATACAAGGGAGTAAGTAGACACGTCTACCTCTGTTTCGTCTTTTTGTTTCAATGTGAGGAAAAAAGTATTTATATAATTACGTCTATACATGGGAGTAAGTACACACGTCTATACATGGGAGTAAGTAGACACGTCCATACATGGGAGTAAGTAGACACGTCTATACAAGGGAGTCAGTAGACACGTCTATACAAGGGAGTAAGTAGACACGTCCATACAAGGGAGTAAGTAGACACGTCTATACAAGGGAGTCAGTAGACACGTCTATACAAGGGAGTAAGTAGACACGTCCATACATGGGAGTAAGTAGACACGTCTATACAAGGGAGTAAGTAGATGTGGGAATGCCCTCTTCCCTCTATATAAAACTCGCGTCTATACAAGGGAGTAAGTAGATGTGGGAATGCCCTCTTCCCTCTATATAAAACTCACGTCTACACAAGGGAGTAAGTAGATGTGGGAATGCCCTCTTCCCTCTATATAAAACTCGCGTCTATACAAGGGAGTAAGTAGATGTGGGAATGCCCTCTTCCCTCTATATAAAACTCACGTCTATACAAGGGAGTAAGTAGATGTGGGAATGCCCTCTTCCCTCTATATAAAACTCACGTCTATACAAGGGAGTAAGTAGATGTGGGAATGCCCTCTTCCCTCTATATAAAACTCACGTCTATACAAGGGAGTAAGTAGATGTGGGAATGCCCTCTTCCCTCTATATAAAACTCACGTCTACACAAGGGAGTAAGTAGATGTGGGAATGCCCTCTTCCCTCTATATAAAACTCACGTCTACACAAGGGAGTAAGTAGATGTGGGAATGCCCTCTTCCCTCTATATAAAACTCACGTCTACACAAGGGAGTAAGTAGATGTGGGAATGCCCTCTTCCCTCTATATAAAACTCACGTCTATACAAGGGAGTAAGTAGATGTGGGAATGCCCTCTTCCCTCTATATAAAACTCGCGTCTATACAAGGGAGTAAGTAGATGTGGGAATGCCCTCTTCCCTCTATATAAAACTCGCGTCTATACAAGGGAGTAAGTAGATGTGGGAATGCCCTCTTCCCTCTATATAAAACTCACGTCTACACAAGGGAGTAAGTAGATGTGGGAATGCCCTCTTCCCTCTATATAAAACTCACGTCTACACAAGGGAGTAAGTAGATGTGGGAATGCCCTCTTCCCTCTATATAAAACTCGCGTCTATACAAGGGAGTAAGTAGATGTGGGAATGCCCTCTTCCCTCTATATAAAACTCGCGTCTATACAAGGGAGTAAGTAGATGTGGGAATGCCCTCTTCCCTCTATATAAAACTCACGTCTACACAAGGGAGTAAGTAGATGTGGGAATGCCCTCTTCCCTCTATATAAAACTCACGTCTATACAAGGGAGTAAGTAGATGTGGGAATGCCCTCTTCCCTCTATATAAAACTCACGTCTATACAAGGGAGTAAGTAGATGTGGGAATGCCCTCTTCCCTCTATATAAAACTCGCGTCTATACAAGGGAGTAAGTAGATGTGGGAATGCCCTCTTCCCTCTATATAAAACTCACGTCTATACAAGGGAGTAAGTAGATGTGGGAATGCCCTCTTCCCTCTATATAAAACTCACGTCTATACAAGGGAGTAAGTAGATGTGGGAATGCCCTCTTCCCTCTATATAAAACTCACGTCTATACAAGGGAGTAAGTAGATGTGGGAATGCCCTCTTACCATCACGGCTAATATTGTTACAGTATATGCTACCTTATTCGTTTCAATTTCATTGGGAGCTTTCACGAACGATAAGACTTATGGCATCGTATTTGTCAATTATCACCTAGCTAGGATTAATCGTGAACAGCTGATAAACTTTACCCTCGGCTCCACAGCATAACATGGCTCCCTGGGGCTAACAGAGCATTCGACCGCTTCCCTTCACTTCGGTAAGAGTTTCGGTGGCGGAGCTCGAACTTGGGAATAAATATCAGAAACGACGCGTCCTAGTCATCATCAGATTAAACTTTACATGGGTGGTAAACAGGAGATACTCTATCTTCATGATGACTGTATGATAAACCGGGCCACTTGTAACTTACGTTAAGAATACTTATATCATTTTCACTTAGCATTTCTAAAATTTCTTTATATCTTGATATGCTAATACGTATTTCTGTTCACAAGTTAAGTATTAAACATGATTTTTTTCACCAACATAAAGCTTCTTATTTTATCGTAACAATGATAGTAAAATCTAGTTTTGTCATCTGTATTAAATATACATTTACATTTATATGACGTCTTTATATAAAATATATGGCGTGTTTGTATTAAATATGTGATGTGTGTTTAATAAATATATGACGTGTTTGTATTAAATGTATGACGTGTTTATATTAATGTATGACGTTTTTATATTAAATGACGAGTTTATAATATTTTTTAACGTTTTTATATTAAATATATTTGACGTGTTGATATTGAATCACGGTACATTGTTTATATTAAATGTATGACGTGTTAATATTAATGTATAACGTTATTATATTCTAAATATGACGTGTTTGTGTCAAATCACAATATGACGTATTTACATTAAATGTCTGACGTGTTAATATCTAATGTATGACATGTTTGTACGACGTATTTATCATGTTCAATAACATGTGAATGAATATTATATTTGCCTCTTTTCTTAGCTTTTGATAGCATTTCCGAAGTTCGATCAATATTATTATTACCTTCATAACAAAATCACCTCAATTGATGTGAATGCGCAAACAACCATTTAGACAATTAAATTCCTAATTCAAATTACTGTGATTAAAACAAATCAGTAAATCTGTCTTTCTGTGTTTGTTTTTTACGTCATCATCTTCGTTGTAAAATATACGTTAACGGGAAATAAGAAATACTATACCAGACAAAAGAAGTTCAAAACCTATTGACAGGTTTGGAAAAAGTTAATAATCTTTTAACAACATATGTTACATTGATTTGTGTCCGGTACGTACCTATGAGTTATAATACATTATAATCCAGATAGTCTACTTCTAGACCGATACTGTACGTTGAAAAATTATTTACATTCGATAAATTCGGTGACACAATAAGTCGTCAAATCAACCTTTTTGGGGGAAAAGTCATCGATTGTAAATAAGACTCTATTGATACCTGTGTTGATACTTTTACAAAGACATGCACCAATTCTTTTTAATGAAGTATGATCTGCTATTCGAAATTTGAAATGTGGCAAAGCACATAGACTGGATGGTTTGTTAAATGAATGCTTTATTAACTATTATAACAAAAACATTGTCATCTAGGAAAAGATTGTATTGTTGTTTTGCAGATTTTCGCAAAACATTTGATTTTTTCGACAGGTTAAGCTTATGGCGCAAGTTGACTAGGCTTGGTATTCGAGGGAAAATGTTTTCTGTTATTAAGTCGCTTTATAAATCAGTCAAATCCTGTGTTTCAATTAATGGGAAATGCTCTAACTTTTTTGAAATCAATGTCGGTTTATTGCAAGGGGAAATTTTGTCACCATTACTGTTTTCACTTTTTATCAATGATTTTGAAATGTCCTTTATTGAAAACGGTGCAACATATTACGACTTCGGTGAGTTAAGTTTGTTTCTATTAATGTACGCAGATGAGTTGGTTTTCGGTATCTGTACAGGGCCTGCAGACTCTTCTTGATAGCCTTTTTGAATACTCTACAAAATGGAGTTTAGCTGTAAATACGGAAAAAACAAAAATTGTAGTTATTAGAAAAGGTGGAAGATTACATAACGATGAAAAATGGTATTACAAAGGAAGTAAAGTCGAATGTGTGGATCATTTTCCTTACCTAGGTGTTATTCTAAATTACAATAATAAATTCACTTCTATCCAAAATCAATAAGCTATCCAAAGACGAAAAGCTATGTTTGCAAAATTTTGAAAGTGTTCATCATTAAACTTAAATGTAAAAACTATGCTACATCTTTTCGATACATATGTAAGCAATATCCTTTTTTATGCAAGTGAAATTTGGTGTATGCACAAAGCTCCAGATATTGAACATGTACAATATGGTATATCTTGAATTGGGACGATAACCCCTAGTTTGTATGAGAAAAAATAGAATGATGAAATATTGGTTTAAGATCTTAAAAACTGAAAATTGTATCATATCCACTTCCTATAGATTTTTATTAAAATGTTGTAGTAAAATTGATTTCAACTGAGCTAAAGCAGTAAGAGATGAATTGAATAATCTAGGTCTTAGTGATATTTGGTTAAATCCATGTATTTCTCAGCAAAATGTGTTATTACCATTGATAAAACAAAGAATTTTTGATCAAGGCATACAATCCCTAAGGGCCTGAATGGAAAACTCTCAGAAAATGTTTATTGTATAAAAATATCATTGATTTTGGAGAATCATTACAATTTTACTTCACAAAATATATACCAATGATATACCGCATTTGTTTAACTAGAATCCGTACATCTATACATTCTTTGGCTGTAGAAGTTGGAAGGTATAATAATATACATAGAGAACGTAGATATTGTAAACAGTGTAACTCCCCCTCCGAAGTAGAGGACGAATTTCATTTTTTATTAGTCTGTTCTAAATTCCAAAATCTCAGATCACGTTTTATCAAAAGCTATTATTTGAAAAAAACATCTGTGTTTAAAGCCGTTCAGTTATTGAGTGTCCATAATATTAAAGAATTGTGTATAGTAGGAAAATTCATCTATGCGGCAAACAAATTAAGGGTATTATAATGGAATTTGATTGTCTTCATTCTCTGTACATTGTCCACGATTTGTGTATAATAAGTATTGTATACTGATGGGCCATTGGCCTAAAGTTCGAATAAAACTTGAAACTTGTAAATAAGTTTAATGTTTCACGTCAGTATAAGTGTTGAAGTAGACTCTCTGGATTTTTGACTACTTACAGGTTGTAACTTATTTAAAAAAAAAAAAAAAAAATATTTAGAATTACAACTTACAATTACAGTACAAAACACCTTTTAGGTGTTGTAATCGTCATTATAATCTACATCTTTAACGATTTATGTATGTACATGAACTGTTTCACATACGACATTTTAAGCAGTGTGGATTCTAACGCGATTGATATCAAGTTGTATTGTTCTCCTGGATCTGTTGGAGCTTCTCGAGTAAAGTAATTGTTGAAAAGTAAAAATAACAAACTGTTTCTTTACTTCTGCTTCGACAGATAAACCACTTATGTGTCACCGGAAATTACCGCCATCTTTCTGGAACAGTACATACCGTCCCCCAGCCACCACCAACCCATTGGGGCCCTCGGGGGGCGGACTGGATTACTCCAGGGACACGTACTTCAGTCCCTCATGGTACTCTCTACAGAACAACTGGCCGTACCGCCTTCCCTCCCACGGACACTCGGACATCGGACAAAGTTTGTCCTACCCGTCCCTAGACACTTCCAGCAAGTTGAGTAATCCATACCAATCATTTGTGTTCCCCGGCAGCTATGATTCCAGACCGTCCAAATTTGACTTTTCCAAAAACATGGATCCCCTTAGCGGATCTAGCGGTTACTATGGACTTTCACGATTAGGCATGGATTTCCCGTCAAAAAGCAACATTGAAAGCACCGTTTCTGGTAAGTACAGCCCTAACACATGTTTTCTATTGTTATGTTATTTTCACCTTTCATTTAAAATACTCTTTCTGTAAGAACAACCATAATACTTTATATACTGGTATTTGCGAAACTGGCTAAAAGTGCTTATTAACACATGGGTTCGTCAGATTCTTTATTGTGATCAGCTTCAAGGTGTACAAAGTTCCGTAACAAAGCCGTGAACACTTGTTCAAACAGCATTATCCATTTATCATTGCCATTTTGCTTTTCCAGGTCTGGAGTACCAGCTTCAGTCGGCACGAAGAGAACTCTGTTGGTGACATTTTTACAATGTCAAGAACAAACTTCCGGTGTCAAGTGCGCATGTGCTATGTGACATTGATCTCACGTGGGTCTTTCTTAGTATTCATAACGATACAATTCACGTCTACCCGCATTAGGATAAATCACGATCTTCATCAACAGAGACGTAACTGTGCACATGCGAGGATTTCGAACGACAGACATGTTACTGGACACGTAACTAATGTGACACCAGTTACATTTCACGTGAATTCAGAAGACGGCGTCGAATAATTCAGATACATTTGGAACATCGCACCTTTTAGTTAGGAACATTAAAACACAATTTGGTAAACATGTTAGTCTCTGTTCCAGCTATCTGATATTAGTGATTGTTGATAGGTGTGTTAAGGTGTCACAAGCTTACCGGTGTAAAGGGTAGATACAGGTCAGAAGGTCATGTCAGCTTCTGTTTTACTCCCCAGAGAATCGTTCATATTGTACAATGTTTGAAGGATGTTTTACATTATAAACAAATCGCATTCCTTGAACATACAGAATATTGCACGACATTTTATTTTTGCAAAGTGCTACAAAGCGTTACAGAAACAAATAATACATATATTTAACCGTCATAAAACGGGGTAATAATGTAAATTAGGATACGAGTGTATTCCCTGCCTAATCCAGGTCTCGATACGTTTTCGCATGTAAACGATCATAGTCCCCGAATATTGTACAATATGAACGGTTAAATTCAGATAACCCCTTATAATACTGTTGTACCTGTACATGCGTATGTAATGTTAAGGACACGTGTAGATGTGTTTATAAGGTGGGGTACAGGTGTAAATATGTATGTAAGGTGGGGTACAAGTGTAAATATGTATGTAAGGTGTGCTATAGGTGTAAATATGTATGTAAGGTGTGGGACAGGTGTAAATATGTATATATGGTGTAGGTAAGGTGTTAATTTGTATGTAACGTGTAGGGCAGGTGTAAATATGTATGTAAGGTGTAGGACAGGTGTTAATTTGTAAGTAAGGTATGGGGCAGGTGTAAATATGTAAATAAAGTGTCGGACAGGTGTACATTTGTGTGTAAGGTGTAGAACATGTGTTAATCTGTATGTAAGGTATGGGGCAGGTGTAAATATGTAAGTAAAGTGTCGGACATGTGTACATTTGTGTTTAAGGTGTAGGACATGTGTTAATTTGTATGTAATGTATGGGACAGGTGTAAATATGTATGCAAGGTGTCGGACAGGTGTAAATTTGTTTGTAAGGTGTAGGACAGGTGTTAATTTGTATGTAAGGTGTTAGACAGGTGTAAATATGTATGTAAGGTGTCGGACAGGTGTAGATTTGTATGCAAGGTGGGGTAAAGGTGTAAATTTGTTATTAGGTTGGGGGTGTATAGGTGTACCTCTAAGGTCGTAGGTTAGACTTCGTGTGGCAGTTTGATATTGCTGAGAACGCCGACCCATAGATATATCATATATTTAATGCATTCCTACCCTAGTATTGACCGAATCCATCGAGATACATGGTGTAAAATAATACCCACTTCTCAGTAACATAACTTTAACATCATTAGATTTTTTCTCATAATTTTCATTCTGCAATTCATTTTTGAATGAGAAAATATTTGTTTTACAATGTGAAACCGATCCAACCGACAAAGGATAACATGGAAAGGGTATGTACGTATGCTTCCCTGTGTTTGACTAACTACACGTAAACATGTGACCCACGTCAAAACGGACAATATTCCTAATCAACTAAGGAACAATTCACTTTGTTACATTACAATATATGAAGCCAAGTACCATTTTACCAAACTGATAAATCTATCACAGTAAGTTATGATACAATAGATAAATAACAGTAAGTTATGATACAATAGATAAATTACAGTAACTTATGATACAAAAGATAAATTACAGTAAGTTATGATCGATAGATAAATTACAGTTAGTTATAATAAAAAAGATAAATTACAGTAACTTATAATACAATAGATAAAGTATAGTTAGTTATAATACAATAGATAAATTAAAGTAAGTTATAATACAATAGATAAATTACAGTAAGTTATGATACAATAGATAAATAACGGTAAGTTATGATACAATAGATAAATTACAGTAAGTTATAATAAATAGATAAATTACAGTAAATTATAATACAATATATACATTACAGTATGTTATGATACAATAGATAAATAACAGTAAGTTATGATACAATATATGATTTTACACCGTAGAGAGTTTTGATCTACAAAAGAGATTAATCATTTACGTTATATTCTAACTTTTGGTTGTTTGTATTCCTCTTTTTATACATTCAATCTTATTCGTAAATGCGATGTAATTCCAATTTGTGATGTAAGATACGTGTAAATTGAACATAATTTATAGTAAATGTATGGTATGCATCGTTTAATGTCCTCGTTTTCATGGACAGCTAGGGCAGCCCGCGTTAATGACGTCACAAATGGTGGTCACGAGTCCCGCCCAGAATAGTGTCCAATCAGGGCACAGAGATCCAACTGATATAATTTCTTTGACGCCTCTATCTCAAAGAAACCTTTAAAATTCCTGGAATGGAGCCGAAACTTTTACACTTATCACGCTACTCTCTTTGATTTCTTCTGATTCTGTCCGTATAACGATAGATAAAACAGCCTAGATAGGCTTTTCAGGAGTCTGAAAAGCTGTTCTTAGCATTCCATTTTAACTAAATAGAAACATTCGTTCATTTGCGTCATTTTGAGTACTAAAATAATACAATAGATGTTGCTGACGACTCCTGCTAACATGTACTAAAGGCTCCACAAGGGTGGCACATATCACGATACATAAACAACGGTGTGGTCAGGAATATTTGTTCATTGATGAACAGCTAAACTACGGGTGTTTGTCCCGTCACTATTGAATATCCAGCCTATCAGATAACTAGTAACTTTTGCTGGTTTATATGTATGTTCGTGTATATTTATGTATATTTTCACAATGACAATCTCTGTATATTATATAGGTGTTTATATTTCATTATAATGATTTCTGTATACGTGGCTGTATATTTCACCATGAGAATTTCTATGAATGTGGCCGCATCTATTAAATGATGTTACCAAAGGTGTTCTATGTGATGAGAATGAAGAATAAAAAGAAAAAACAAAACAAAAGTGATGTTTTATTTGTTTATTTCATGCATTATTTTATACAGAAACATAAGCAGGTCCATTGTCGTGCTATTTGTCTGCTACTGTGTTTGTTGGTTGTAAAGAATCAAATTTTACTTCATCAATTTTGAACAACAAAGTTCAGTCAGGAACTTCATTGCTCGTGGCCACATTTCAGTGTCTACTCTAATGTTGCGAGACAGCTACCAAATTTGACATAGGAAACGGTTCCCAGGGATACAATGTACCTGGTCAGTGTATCTGCGGTACTATTTGATACAGAAAACAGTTTCAGGGCAC